TGCTGAAATTGACAAGATCTGCACATGGAGTTTGTGGTGCCAAGACGACCAGCTCACCGGTGGGAAGTGTAAATTCAAGTGGAGTAACATGTGCAAGCCAATGGACAAAGGCGGGCTGGACATCCTAGACACTACCAAGTTCGCCAAAGCGCTGAGACTGCAGTGGCTATGGCAGACGTGGAAATCTCCAGATCAGCCATGGGTGGGCACTGAGCTGCCATGCGATCAGAAGGACATTGATCTCTTCACCACGGCGAAATTAGTAACAATTGGCAATGTGGAAACAACAAAATTCTGGGGAGCGCCATGGCTCTACTCATTCCCCCTACGCATGGTTGCTCCCACCTATTCCAGTAGATTTTGCCGGAAGAGAAGATCAGTCAAGGACGCCCTTGCTAACAACACATGTGTAAAGGACACTTGTCACCGCAACCTTTTTTTAGAGAAAAGACACAACCCGAGCCTAAGAAGGGCTCAAGCATAGCCCGGCTTTGAATTAACAAAGCCATCAACCGGCTAGCATTACAACGGAAACAGACCAAGCAACAAGGAAAGAAAATAAAGCAGGAATGCAACCCTGCAGAGGCCGATACAAGGAGCTAAAGGAAAGCACAAGTGCAACGATAAAATAAAAGGCTACAACTTGAAGATTTAAGTTCTTGAGGGAATCGCGCCACCAGAAGAGATCGCCCTGCACCCAAAGCCAACAAGATTGAAAGCCATCACCAACAGACGGGGGCCAACTCTTCATGCACAGGCTTGAGTGATGCTATGTCGTCGACAAGGAGAAACTGCTCCCCGAGAGCAAGCTCTCCATAGATGTCAGGCCGTCGGAAGGCAAAGGGCGCGACCACTCCAGCAAGCACATCGAACACAAGCAGCAGCCCACAATTGAAGCATGTCGTTGATGCAAGGCAAGGACCAGAGGTGTCCCAAGAAGACACGACACTGATTTGAGCAACACAGCCATCACGACCAGAGGAACCAGAGCTCGCCACGGCCACCAACTCAGCCACCGTCGCGTCCATGTTGCCGAAGAGGGGACCACTATCCCCTCTTGTCCAGGCCGTGGGCGTCGATCCGCCGGGCAGACAGAACCACATGGGGGAGAGCACGATGGCCATAGGAGGGAACCGGTCATCCATGGCGAAGGGTCACCACCGGAAGGAGAAGCCGCCGCCACCGGGAGCTCCCGAAGCTCGCAACAGCCTGCCCGCCTCCCCACAGACCCAAAATGGTGCCTTCAAGAAGGTAACGACGCCGCCATGCCGCCACCACCGCCCAAACCAAAGTTGTGGGCTCACCCGGATGCAGGGGAAGGGGGAGGAGGGAGAGGTGAACCTCAACGCCGCCTTCAGGAAGGAGAGCAGCGCTCGAAGCGCCGCCGAGGAGGTGGCCGTCGCCGCCGCCGGAGGCCAAGGGGTTACCCTGATCCAGAGCACCCACTCCACATCCACGCAGCCAACAACCAGATCGGGTCGAACCTGACATAGAGGAGGCTGTAGCAAGCGACGGGACACCGTCTTCAGATCTGGCGAAGAGGGACGCGGGGGACCCAACACCCGACGCCCCAGACCACTGCCGCCTCGCCACCAACGCAGCCGAGGGGAGGCGGCCCCAACTCCGGCACCGGATGCCCGCCGCTGGGACGGCGCCGCCCACGCCACCAAGGCCGCCGCCTGGAACCCTAGGTCCGTTCCCAGGGAGGAAACGCGACCGAAGACCTTGCCGCCACCCTCATCGGCGTCCGCCCGTGGTTGCCGACGGCTGCCTCCGGCGGCGGCAAGGGGAGAAGCGGAGGAAGGGGGTGGCGGCGAACGGGATCTAGATTGCCCCCGAGTCGCCCCTACGGGGCGACGCGAGGAAGGAGGGGGGGTTGACTTCATGGATGTCACCGCAACCTGTCGCAACCATTCGTTGAAGAATTCCTTGCGCTTTGGAACTTGATTAGAGCATCGCCCCTCACCCTAGCGCCAACAACCAACGACAAGATCACTTGGAAAGTATCGACATTAGGCAACTATATCACGACTTCGGCGTATAGGATGCAATTCATCGGACATACCGACTCACCTTTCCCGGCTATGATTTGGAAGGCGTGGGCGCCACCACGATGCAAATCCTTCGTCTAGCTAATGCTCCACGACAGAATACGGTGTGCTGATCGGCTTCAGCGTGTCGGCTGGGATAATTGCTACTTCTACCCTCTATGCATCCGTAATTTGGAAAGGTCTTTCCACCTATTCTGGGGGTGCATCGTCGCCAAGGAGATTTGGTGCTCTGTCTCAACCTGGAGACGTTGTCAGTCGCTGGCTCCTACCAGTTGGGAAGGCGAAGACAATAGCATGGCGATCTAGAGCAAGATTGGTAGCCAAGGACCAGCTCCAGAAAGAAAGGGCATCTAATCCATGCTCCAGCTCATCGTTTGGGAGTTGTGGACTGAGAGAAACGACATGATCTTCAAGAACAAATACCTTACGGTACACCTGATAGTCAACTCCATCAGGATGACCATGAAGGCATGGAGGAC